ATGATGAATAAAAATTCAGGAAGATGATATAGGAAGATGAGGAGAACCAAATGGAAAAAGTTCTGAGAGGAAAAAGTAAAATACAAATTCGATGTGTCAATGATTACATTTAGTTTGCATCGCGTTCATTACGTTAATTGATTATGATAATTAACCATAATGATCACGCAACTAAATTATCATCACAATAGAAATGATTATTATGATGATGATAATTTCTCATTGAAGACAAATTGTTTCATTGTTATATTAATGATTATCATCAATAAATAGGAAGATGATGATTAAAATGATGATCGATTAAAATTTTACCCTCAAGCAATTTAATAATTAACTAATATTACACAAAATGTGGCTTAATGTGTTTATACATTTAGTTGTATTTTAACAATTAATTGATTAACGGCAATCATATAGATTATTTAATTGTTAATCTTAATCATGATTAAAGGTGTTAAATATTATCAATTGAAATCAATGATCACACCCAAAGGTAGATTTAAATATTCAAACAAATTAAATTGTTTGGGTTTGGTTGAGAATCAGAATTTACAATTAGAAAAAGTTTAAAATAATTAAATACTAATTGTAATTAAACGAAGATGATTAAGTTTACTGATTCTGTTAATCAACTAATAATAATATTCAGTATTAATTGTAAATTAAATTTAATTGTTTAGTTAACTTTTTTTTCACTATTAACTCAAAATTTGCACAATTTAATTTAATTTAATTTACTTCAAGTTTTGTATTTACTGAATTGCTAATTTTTTATTAGCTAATTGTTACAATAAAATGCTAATTAAACTAATCATTATTAAATCCACCTTACAATTGAATCAGTGTTGTATTTAAATCAACCACCTCCACCACTTGTTAATTGTTCATGTTATGATTTAATTTAGACAACAATTTAATTGTTCAATCAACTGTTTCCATTAAATTTTTAGGACGAAAAAAGTTTTAAATCAATTGATTTGATTGATTGATTGTTTAATTGTAATTGTAATCATTTTGTTACATTGGCAAACTGATTCAATAGAAAAGTAATCAAGTAATAACAATTAAAAGTTGATTAAACAGTCACACCTTTTGAAAAATTCGTGTAAACAATTAAATGATTTTGATTATTTAACTTAATCAACTTTGATTTTTTGAATTACTGTTTCCAATGATTAGTTAACTGTTGATGATAATAATGATAAGCAACAGCATGAATTAACCTTGTGATGACAGGCTAAAGATAATCAATTACAACAATCAAGGTTTACAACAATTAACTTAACCGGTAAAATGTATGAGAAAAAAAATAACACCAACAACAATTAAAATATTGATCTTAAATCTGATTTGATTGTAATATCAAAAGTAATCACATCAAAACAAATCATCAGCAATTAACATTCACACAACATTAAATTGTGAAGGTAATAAAACAAAATAATCAAATGATTAACTTGATCATTTAGTTAATTTAGTTTAGTTAACTTTATGTATTAACCTTGTATCACGAAAAAAATATTAAAACTTTTGGTGTTTTTTTTTCATTGTTTTTGCAAACAATTTATCAATGCTCAGGTTAAATTGTTGGCTGATTGTTGGTTTGATATTTTATAAATTGTTGGTTAATATTAACACTTATACAGAAAAAAGCAGCAATTTATTTAATCAATTGTTTGACCATTTGTAAATCATTTGGTTGAAAATAAATGTACTTTTGATTGTTACTGATTAACGTTGATTGTTGAGCACGAATTGTAAATTTCAACTGTTTCTATTGATCACAATCAACTAATTGTAAAAAAAACAAACGTCCAAACGTAATAATATTTACAATCAACTGGGTAAAAAAAAATAACTGGTTAATTGTTGAATTTGAACAAATTGATTAATAAGTTAATTGGATTGCTGTTGTTAAATTTAATGATGAACAATTAAGCAAAATTAATAATCCAGACAATAATTAATATATTCACTCAATATATTGTTAATTATTGATGAAATAATTAAATTTTAACATGATCATTATGATAACAATTGAATTAAGGTAATACAAGTTATATTAGAAACAATTTTAATCACATTTGTAATTTAAAGGTTAATCAATTTAGTGAATCATGTTATCCCTGATTAAATTGATTTCTTAGCCTCAAGATGAGGGATAAATTATGATTCTGATGATATCCGATGGTCATTAATTGTTCAAGAAATCAACAATTAACAATCTAATACATTGGATCGCCATTTAATCATAATAAAAATCATTTTGATTGTAATCATAATTATCAACCTGAGACGTGGTTTGTCACACCTTTTAAAGTGATGATTCATTAAATTGTGTACCTTGATTATTGTGGCTTGAAGCAATTAAATTTAAGATGATTAAGAATAAGAAAATACCAAATTCTCATCATTAACTTAATCATTATTGTAAAGGGTTGATTAGTTTGTTGTTGATCACAATTTCTTGCCTCATGTCCAATGTACTAATTGTTTTTAATCATAAAGGTAACAGACCCTTGCAATTTAATTTAGTTAATATTAATTAAAATCAAGCACTTGATTAGGTGAAAATTGTTTTTCTCTGGTTAACAACAATTAACTTTTTCCCTCTATGATGTATTGTCTCAACTAGATTGTTTATTAATTGTTATTGATTGGATATCTTTCTCACGATTTACCATAATCATTTAATTGTGTGTATCAGATATTGATTGTTGATTAATTGTTACAGTTTGTTTCTGGTTTAAGTCAATTATTATTATTAATTGTGTTCATTTTTTTTCCCAAGAATTGAAAACGTTACAGTTTTCATAAAGTGATGAAAACAAGACAACGATGATTATGATTAAGATAATGATTAAGATGATCTATTATTTGATTCATTTATCCAATCTAATAAGTTGATTGTAAACAAATAAACAACAACAATTATTTATCGTTAATTTAATCATCATCATCTTTACATAATGATTATAAGTAACTTTGTGACATATCCATTTATGAACTTGGTTCATATTGTTTACGATAACATTTACATAACACTTCAACCTTCGACCTCCTGATTAGGATGGAGAGAGGAATAGAGATGATGATGATGATGAACAAGATTTTCTGTAAATTTTGACCTTTCACTTTCTTCCTCCCACTCTCAGGTCACTTCAATCTTCATCCTCTTACTAGAAAAATCATTGAATACTGAACTGTTTCCTATTTGTTTACATGACTTTTGACCTCGAAAAGTTTATCAAGAGAGAGAGAGAGAGAGAGAGTAAAATAAGGTGGTGGATGATAAGGAAGAGGAAGATAATCAATATCCATCTAATTATCTATCAAGATATTGATTCAACGAAATTACCAATAAGATTTTTGTTTTGTTCTGTTTCATTTTTGTTCACCATCAACAAATGAAAATCTGCTCATCATCATTATCACTCAATTATAATCATCATGTTGACACTTTCATCTTCATCATTTATCCTCATCTTGCAACCTTCAATTCAATCAATTGTGCATCTCAATAATTAACCATAAATTGAGCGATAATCATTTCGCTATACAATCATTATCAATATTTAACATCATCATCACCATCAGATTCAAACAATTTAGCAACAAAAGGTTAAACTTGAATACGATTTGATTTTTAAAAAAAAAACTGATTTACAATTTAATTCAATTGGATAATAGTAGTAATTGTAATCAAAATTTATCTCTCACTTTCATAAATTATAAATGATTCCTAATGGATTACGATTAACAACAGTTACCATGATAACTGTTAGTTTTTTTATCAGCAAATTATTTGAATTGGTAATGATGATAATGATGATAATATGGTTTGGTTAGTTTAGATGAGAGGAGTATTGTGGTTTTGCCTTTGATTTTGCAACAGGAAGATAAAGATGATGATAATGATGAAGGAATCAATTGATAAAAAAAGGATGCGATTCAACTGGGATGCTGATGATAAGGATGCCTGAAAGTGTGATGTAAACGGAATCAACAACAAAAGGCAAATCAAAAGGTAGATAATGATGATGAGAGAAAGTAAATTCAAAGCAAATAAAGATTAGAATTACATATGATTTTGGAAGATGATTATGAGATGATAAGGATAAAGAGCAATCAGAAAAAAAGACGATGATGATTGATAATCAGAGGGAAAACTTTTAAATAGATGGAGACTACATCTGTTATATTATTACAATTGATGAAGATAAAGATGATGAGGATGAGGTGTAAAAGAGAGAGAGAGAGAGAGAGAAAAAGAGAGATCGAAAAAAAAACATTTCTATTCATTTTTACTTTTTATCCTCATCCTTTCCGTTTCCTCTTTTGCTTTGACCATGAACAGAGTCCTGTAAATTTTAACTAATCTTTAAGTAGAAGAGAAAATTTTTACTAATTAAAGTTCAATTATTTTGATTATCTTAATCTCAATTTAAATGGTTGATATTTGTCAACATTAATTGTGATACGATCAAAATTTTATTCTCGTACAGTTAAATTGCCAACGGAAGATGGCGCTGATTTTGTCTTCTCATCTCAAAACAATTAACTGATTAGCACAATTAAACAATAAATACAAAATGATTAACAAATGATAAGCAAGAAATTGATTTAATTGGAAAACAATCAAAGATGAATTCATGTAATCGGATGATCAGGCTCAGAATTTTGTTCAGTTCATTTCAACTTCATCTCTCTGAAAGAGACTCTCTCATTTCTTTCCCTTCTCCCCCTTCTCTCGTTCTCTCTTTTCTCTTCCCTCTCCCAAAGTTACTCACTTCTCACAGAAAAGAAAGAGGAAGAGAGAAAGAGAAAAGTGAGCTGGGGGGAAAGAACTGCAATTGGAAAGATATACTTACACATATGAAAGTATTTGAAGAAAAAAAATCAGAGGGAGAGAAAGAGAAAAAGAGAGAGAAGATGAAATGAAGAAGAAAGAGAGATGAAAGGAAGATGAAAAGAAGATGAAAAAGAGAGAAAGAAAAGTGGGAGGGACTGAGAGTGTCTATTGCTCTTTCAGAACTATAATCAGTTTGCTCTTTGCAGTCAACAAAAGATCTTCATTTGTCTTCATTTCATCTTCATTTCGACTTGTAGAACTTTTTTTTATTTCGAAATAAAACTTTTTCTTCCTCAATTTTATTCACTTCTCATTCGTATCTACATACTAAACATTAAATCTCATCTTCTCATCATCAAGCAAACATAAACTTCTCTCTCTCTCAATTCTTCAATCAAATGTATCCTAATCTTCATCTTTAATTGAGACATAATTTATTTCATTTGTGATTTCCCTCGATCATCAATCTCGACAATAATCACCATCGATCACCAATTGAGTTTCGTTTCTATTCCGAAGTCGAATTGAAGAAGAAGAAAAAAAGTGTTCTAATTGTTTCTTGAAATTGTTCTTTTCTCTCTCTCTCTCATTGATTAATTGTGACTTTTTCAAATGCATTCGGGTGTTTATCGACGTAGTTTATCACCGACATCAAGTGGATCTGATGTTGAATCAGATTCTTCTCAGCATTCAGGGCCTAATGATCTCACCACATCAAATCGTTCAAAACAAGGGATAGTGGGAGTTGTAGGAGGAGGAGGAGGTAATAATAATAATATTGGTTCTAATAGTGGTGGTGGTAATGGTTCAGGTAATGGTGGTGGTTCTAATAATGGTTCAAATAATAACCTCGGTTCATCAACATTTCCAACTTATTCATCATTTTATTCACCTACTCATCAATCAGCTGGTTCATTGGGTCAAGGATCACATGGATCAAGTGGATCTCATCATGGATCAGCTTGTTCACCTTTCATAGCAACAAATGAATGTCGGATTATTGAATATCGAGGTGCCCGTTTAGCAGCATTTCTCTCAGCTAATCGGACACCCTGTGAGTATTTACTCTGTTTACCTCAAGCATTTGAACTGTTTCTCAAACATCTCGTCGGTGGATTACACACTGTATACACTAAATTAAAGGTAAGAATTGTTGATATTTTTTCAAAACATTCGAATATTCAAAATACTAATACTGATTCGAAAATAACAATAAACAAATTATGCTCGAAAACAGAGATTGGATATTGTTCCAATTGTGTGTAATGTTGAACAAGTTCGTATCCTTCGAGGACTTGGTGCTATTCAACCGGGTGTCAATCGATGTAAACTTTTATCAACCAAAGATTTTGATGTACTTTTCAAAGATTGTACAACTGCAAGGTAAGTTGATCAAATCGTATTTACAATTAATCTTAAACACACTAATCAAATTGGAAGAAAAAGCAAAATTAACTCTCAACTCGATTATCTCAACAACAATCAATTGATTGATATCTCATTAAACTTCTTGACTAAATCTTCAATTTATTAATAGAGATTAAGCTTCATCATTCCTGACCTCTTGAAAAAACAAAGTTAATCTAATTGTTTTGATTATCTTTAATTAGCATACATATATTACAATATATAAGACGTGTGATTAACTTGTTGATATTGCAAAATATTTATCGACAATTTTCAATCACACTGTTACTTTGTTAATCAATTGATTAACAAAATGACTCTCATGTGATTATTGATTACAATCAAATTGTATAAATAGAGAGACAATTGAAATTATTTTGAATACATGAAGAAAAAAAACTGGACAAACCTTAAAGTTTATCGTATTTGATGAATGTGTGTGAGTATTTCAATTGTGTGACAATGTCGATTGAGGATCAAGATGAAATTGCATCTCAAACTAGATCACAGTATCGATCCATCATTCTAGAGACTAGAATATGAAGAAAATGGTCACAATGGACTTTGTCGAAGGTTAGACAAGACTCTCGATCTTTTTTTTTACCATAGGAAAGGACATACGATCACAATAATAAGCAATTACAATTTACTATTAAGGGAAAAGCTGAAAAACTTTGCAAACTTTTTTTCCAGCAAAAAACACTACTACATGTAGATCTTGATCCAATTGCAAACAACAACAACAACAACAACAACAACAACAACAACAACAGGCAAACACAAACTGTCCTCCTCAATGTAAATGATTCAAATTGCAATATGATTGATGTTTTATCCTCATCCTCATCTTCATATTGATCATCATATCAATACAATAACCTGAGAATCAAAGATTCAAATATTAGGCAACCCTAATAAATGATGATCATCATCTTCCTCCTTCATCAATTGCAACAAAAAACGATGATGATGATGATGTGAATGATTATCATCTTCCTCCTCTTCACTATCATCATCTTCTAGGAAATAAACAATTTACCAAATCTAAAAAAGTAACAATAATAATATATGAAAATTGAATTGAATTATTGTAAATGATGTTAACAATTTACACCAACGGTTACAATTAAATTACTTTACGTTTACAATCAATTGAAATCTATTATCATATGTTAATCATTTGAATCTGAATTTTGTATTTTCTTGATTGTTGTTGTTTAATGTTAATTGTTTACAATTGTTATTTACATGTAATAATCAGGGTTAAAAAATCAAGTTGATTTATATGATCATTTGGTAGTTAGTTTTAATTGTTAACCTGATTGTGTTGTTAACTGTTCAAGTGTAAGTTTTTATCATAACAATTAACTTAATATCGAAGCCTTGATTAGTTTATTGATTAGGTAATTGTAATTGTCTTGACATTTAATTAAAAATGAAAATAATAATAATCGATTATATCGTTTTCTCAATATATATAAATTGTGATGATTTTTTTTCTTCATATTGTATCATAAACAATTGATTGATTGTTATTAGTTTGATTATATATCATAATCTGGAATCATAATAATATCAAACAATCAACTGATCATATTGAAATTAAATTGTTATTATTGGTTAGCCTTTTATTATTATTATTATTTTGTTGATTGTGTTAGTTACTGTTAATTATTATTATCATTTGTTATCAAACCAATCAATAAAAAAAACGTTAATATTGTGATATATAATTTAATTTAATTGTAACAATCAATAAATTTTGTGGTTATCAAAGTAATAAACAAGTTATACTTTTGATATTGATATTGAACAATTAACCAACCACAATAATTATTAATGAGATGACAAAGTAATCAACTTTTTTATTTAAATGGGACAACAATCAAGTTGATTGTTGCCACTAATTGTCAAACGGCCTTTTGATTAACAATGATTATGATGATGATGATGATGAAAAAAAGTCAATCATCAAATTACCAAGCGAAACAAAATTAACTAAATTAAAATTCATTTTGATTTAGTTGTTTACAAATTGCGAATCAATCACCAACCATTATAATGATAATATAACCAAATCGACAGCAATCAAATCAAATCAAATTAAATCAATTGATAAGGTGATGATAATAAGTGAGAAGTGAATGTTAAAAAAAAAGGAACAAGAAGAAAATACAAATTCGAAAAGAAAAGTTCTAATGTATTTATCGAATAAAAATAAATCGTCAATTTTGTTCACAGTTTACTTTCTATTATGATGATAATCACGGCGATCACAATAAATGACCGATAGAACCAAACAACAATTAAATCGAGTGTGTTAGTATCCGAAGAGGGAACAAAAAAAGTGATCAACATAATTGTCGAATCGACAATGATAAAAGAGAGAGAGAGGGAGGGAAAGAGAAAGGTCCAATTGTGAATATCGAAATGGATCCAAGAGGAGAATTGGAAACAAATTCGAGGTTAGGAAACCATTAGAACTTTTTTTTTAGAAATGTGAAGAAAAAAAAATCGAATGTGAAAAATGCCATATTGGCGTATTGTTGTTTATTCTGTACCCATTTCTAAATGTTAATAATAATATTAATCTAATATCTCGTAAAGTGATATGGACATTTGTATTAATACAAAAAAAAGACGAAGTACTTCCTGGTCCCTTGATAAGTTCTAGACCCTGACAATTACATTATATTGGCCGATGATTATCATATATATTTATTACATTTAATAGGTACCGTTATGTTTGATGATAAAAAATGAACCATTGGATAAGGTAAATGTTGCGCTGTCATATGTACATTTGGGTTGATATTATATTTACACTGTAAATTGGGTTATGCTGTTGACTTTGTGTCTATGATTGTGTGTGTGTGTTTGTGTGTTAAATGAATGGTAAGTATGTACAGAGTGAGCACAACACATTGACTACATTAAGTATTATGAAATTAAATGATAACTGATATGATGAGGATGAAATTTTGAGGATAAGCCAGAGAGAGAGAGAGAGAGAGAGAGAGAGAAGATTGGGAAGATGGAGAGGAAGATGTTGGGATGATGTTAATGATGATGTGGTTTAATATTTGATTGTCATGTTTTATTTTCTGGGAAAATTTTGTTGAAAATTATCATGATGGTCATTTCCATGATTTGATTCTGTTTGATTGTTTATTGTTATTCAATTAGTTTTGGTGTTAATTGTTTTCCATAGGAAGTTAGTTGACTTTTTTTCTCGCATTGGTTGGATGATTTTTGGGTTACCTGTTCAGGTTAATTGTTACTCTTTTCCTGGTGATAATTTATACCTGCAACAATTAGTCTAACCTTGATATCGTTTTTTTGTTTTCAAAGCCTTTAGTTTATCAATTGTATCTTTCGTGATTCAATTGTTCATCTCATTTATCTTCATGATTTGTTTGTATCTCCTTCCAATTGTAACGGTAATTGATTTTCTCTCAATGAATCAATCATCTTATTTAGGGGGAAAAAAAGGAAAACAAATTATGATAAATGGTCAAGACGATGATGGTTATAGATGATAATGACCAATTTAGCATAAGATTATCTTTTCATCATCATCATCATTCCCGCATCGTACTCGTGGCCTGGTCTTAAAACTCAAAAGTCCAGCCCAGGTAATTGAGATCCAGTAGTAATTGGTGATCAGTTGCTAATCCAATTCACCAAGAAAATCATATTAACCTTTACACATAAAGAGAAAAAACTTTTTAACAACTTTGACCACAACTTTTTGACCAAAGGTCAAATAATTATGATAATAGGGTAACAATACACAACCAGCAACAACGATTAACCTATAACCCTAAATATCATTTAGAGAAAGAGAAAGAGAGAGAGAGAGAGAAACAATTACGATAATAATAGTAATGTATTCATCCAATTGGAACGGTCATCCACTTATACCAATGATAAATAGAAAAGGTAATATTAACATCGTTAGCCAATTGTAAATTCATCATCATCATCATCTACCTTTATTTTCAGTCTTTCCATGGTTCAATCATCTTCATCTCCTCCCACTCTCACCTTCCACCTCCTCCTACGCCTCATCATCAGCAGCTTATTGTTGATCTTTAAAAACTTATCTCTCATTCTTGTGATGATAAATTATTACGTTGATGTTTCTTATGATAAGTTTTACATAGAAACTTGTCTTCAACATGATAACTCATTTTTGAGAAAACTTCATGTTTAATTGTTCAAGGTTAATTATAATCAACTAATTGTTTGAAAGAAAACTTGCAAAATTTTGAAAAATTGTTCTCACAATTTCATTAACCTTGGCTAACAATTAAACTTCCATTACATATTCACATAGTATCTTTGTCTTTCTCTCTGGTAATTAATTAGTTTTAATTACAATCAATTGGAAAAGTTGAAATTTTCATAACAAAATTAAACAATTTTCACATTGTAATGAAGCAGAAAAATTGAATAATTAAATTATTAGAAACTGATTAAGATCACAAACTAAATGTAAATTTAATTATTTAAAGCAAATGATACAAAACAATTGAATTGTGATTAAAAAAATGATCGTTGAGAGTTAATTGAACAATTTTAATTGGACTAATCAACTTGTCATTGTTGCTCAATATAATTATGTTTATATTTTTGTTTCTTGTTTATGTTTGTTGTTTACATTAGTCGACCAGGTCGTCCACCCAAACGAAGTCCAGAAAGTGGAATGGTCAGTCCGATTCCAACGGCCATACCAGCGACCACTCCCCACAGTCAACAAGGTAATTCAGTGCCCTACCTGGGATTCCCACCGACGGGTAAGAAGCCAAGATACGCTGATGATGCAGACTACGGAGCTGAATGTAAGTATCATTAACTTTTCTAGCCCATCCTAAGAGGTTGAGAGGGTGGGATGAGGGAGGAAGAGGTGGAGGAGGAGGTGGGAATATACAAATCAAATATACAAAACAATAAATTCAACAAGATGATGATGATGATGAGAAATTCAAGTTTTTTTTTGCCTCAAAAGGCAAAACTTTTTGTTTTGTTTTTCCAATGATTAACAATCATGTTGATTTTGAAAACTCATCAGGTTTTTTTTATGTTGTTTTCTTGTTGATTGTTGTTTATTATTGTTATCATTATATTTTAAATTGGTATTATTGTTAACAATCAAGCCCATCATCATAATCAACAACCATCAAAATTACATCCTTATTATTATCATGTTATTATCATGATTAACTTTGATGATGATGAATTAGTTTTGATTACAATTGTTGTTGTTTTTTTCTTACTTTTTTCTCAATAATCATTAACTTTAATCTAGACTTGAACAAATTAATTGTTTGAAAAAGTTTTTTATTGTTTAAATTAAACGTTTATTTTTTCAACTAGATTGTTAAAGATTAATTGTAAATTAATTGTTTGTCTTGATTAGATTTCTGTTGATTTTGACTAATTAACTCGTGGCTAAATGAGCTCGTGCTCTTATTTACATTTAATTGTTGTCATTTGTTGATATTATATTTTTTTTGCTGATAAATATTTGATTTATGATAATAAATAAATTGTGATTTGATTAATTGTGGTTTATTGTTGATTGTTGTTACATATTGATTGATTATTGGTGTTTGTAATTGTTATAAATTAGCTTTAATTGTTTGTCTCCAGATTATTATTGAAAATCAAACATTTTCTAGCTTTGAACTTTACTCAGTATTTGTGGTTAATCAAGATGATAATCAATTCTGATTACAATTAATTGTTGTTGTTTCTTTTTTTACATTATAATCTCAATCTTAACCTAATCAACTGTCCAAACAATTAACTAATTGTCATTTTCTTTCCTTTTTTTTCATTTAAACAGCTTTAGAGATTAAACAAATACCGGCTAATAATTCAAACGGGAATAAATCATCGGCTTCAGCAGCCGCAGCGATGTTGGCAGCTAATGGTTATTCAGGTAAATAACTTAATGATTTACAATCAGTTGTGATAATTAACGTTGACAATTAAAGTTGATTGTCTTCAGATGATGATGACAGTTCATTGAAGATGATTAAATTGAAAGGGTTCCCCTTAATTAATTAATTATTAGAAAATGAAAGCAGATGAAAAGTTTTTAGATGAATTTTTCCCCATCATTTTTCAAGGTGAAAATGATGAAATTAATGATAGTCTGAGAGAGAGAGAGAGAGAGAGAGAGAGAGAGAGAGAGAGAGTGAGCTAATGTCCAGCCTAAAGTGACCTCGATAAGAGTTGAATTGAAAAGAAAACGAAATTATTATTCCTTGTGAAGTTAATTAACATTGGATTAAATTAACTAAATTAACTTGGATCATAATTCATACATTAATTGTTGAGTTTTAATCGTCACTTAAGCTCATTGAATTAACATGAATATTCAAATGTTAATTTGACTCAAAAAAATACAATTGGTTTCATATTCATACGAACCAAGGATTCAGAATTATGACTTCTATATATATTAGAACTTTGAGTATATATAATGAATATCGAATGTTTTTATTTCTATTCTAATATAGGACTAGAAAAATATAATAAATGCTAAGGTTTTCAACTCGAAATTGTCGTTAGGATGTAATAGGAAATGAGGGAAGAGGCAAAAGAAAGGAAAAGAAGATGTAAAAGTTAACGATAACAATTGAACGAATTGAACTTGCTCAGAACTTTTATATTTTCCTTGCATTACAGTTGAATAGCATGAAGATGATGAAGATGGAGATGATAATAGTAATGATAGTGATAACATTTCATGAAATGTTTCCTGTAAAAAAAAAGTTCTGAAAGGGAAATGATGTTCATCTCTTATTCTGAGTCGATTCTAGAACTTTTTGATGAGGCGATAGGAATGATATTGGTTTTCATCTCTGTTCAGGGAAAAAGAAAGAGAGATCTTAAGGAGAAATAAAATGGAACAGAAGAAAAGTTCTGAGCCAATCCCATGTCAACGAATGTCTTTTCTTTCATGATAATAATAATCTGCTCCACCCATGAATCCACATGAAAGAGAGAGAGAAAGAGAAGGAACGAAACTATCAATTCCATTTCTATTCCTCCATCTTTTTTCCCATCTTCTCTCCATCCTCATCATCCTTCTTTTCGTCTCACTCCAATGTTTTCCTATTTCTCTCTTATTCCAACTCATGATTCTCTCTGAACTTTTTCCTTTCATGATCCTATAAATGCGAATTTATAAATGATATATATATTCCCTGAGAATCGAATGAGTTTAAGGAATTGCCTCTGAATGGTTTCAAGAATGATCCATGAGATGAATAACATGCTCAGTAGAATAATTTTTTCCCCAGCTATCATGTATCCACTGAATCTTCATGGGGAAGTCATTGAATTATTATTATTATTATTTTCTTCATTTCCATTTAACTCTATTTCAGAACTATTATTATAATGATGATGATGATGACACAGAAATGATGATAAAAATAGTCACTCCTTCATGATAGTTTCATGCTTATTCCAGTTCTTATCTCATGGTCCGACTCAGAATTGAATTGACTCACAATACTTTATCATGAATCTTTCATAGTTATATATTGAATACGCATGTATAACAATTCATTTCAACTGAATGAGTTTTTATTCATTTCATCATGTAGGCGGGTTTTCAGCTCTGAGCTGAACATATATTCAAGTATTATTATTATCATCATTTTATATGTGTTATTCAACTGCTTCATTAAAATCTTTCCTCCTCTTCACCAGAACCCTCAGAATCTCATGATAAGAATGAAAATGAGAGAGAAAAATCTTACAGGGGAAAACTAAGGGTGGAGTCATTTTCTCAATGAAAGAAATTATCATTATCTTCTCATGATATTTACTCTGAATCGATGGAAACTATTTCTTTTCCATGATCATCATCATCTTCATGAATCATGATTTCTCATGAAATACATATAAAAGAGAACCAAAAATCCAATAAACTCAATGAGAAATTTTCTATTCGCAATTCCAAAAACTGTTCAATCATCGCTCGTACCAAACGAATCGTTTATCGTTGCAAATTTACAACAATCGATATCGATCAAAGCCTCGAATCAAGTTGAATATCAACAAGTATCATTTCCAATTGATTTAATTGAATTTCTCTCTCTCTCTCTCTCTCTCTGATCCTCTTCTTCCCACCATCATCTTATAGCTTTCCTTTCCTCCAGCATTTCGGTGCTTCATCAGCATCAACACCCACCAGTCAACAACAACACCAGCAACAATTAGTTGCAGCAGCAGCAGCCTTGGATTACCTGGTTTACCAACATCAAGGTAAGAAAACAGCAAAATTGAAACAGAAAACAATTAAATTAATTAGAAAAGTTGTAAAAAAAAAGATTAGCATCCTCATCTCATTTCAATGAAAAATATTCATCTCTTTTTTCTGGATATAAATATGAACAATTTTCATTTGTAATTTAATCTTGAGTAGAAAACTAATCAAATCTTAATCATATTTATATTTATTCACTAATGATGATAAACATGATGAGAGAGGGAGAAAGTAAATTAACTTTTTAAAAGAATAGTAAAAAGTTTCAACTTTCTCAAAAAAGTTATCTGATAATATCTACATGGGAACTGTACATGATACTATTATTTTCACCGAGTTGAGTTTACAGTTTTCAAGGTACTTTTATTGATGATCATGTTTTTATCATGATCGTAACTCATTAAATTCATAAAGTTTATTATTTAATATCAAATGAACATGATTAACGTTTAATGATATTAAACTAATGGTAATCAAAAACCAGAATTCATTGTTATGATATTTCATGAGATATTTATCTTGCTAATCTCAATATAAACTTAGATTGTATCATGAAAAGTTTTGAATTCATGATTAGATTACAATGTTATCCATTATCATTAGTTAATCTTAGATAATCAATGAATTAAACTTTTTGTTGATTTTTATTGTGATTCTTGAATCTCCCTCACTCTCTCTTTATTTTTGTCTTTATATGTCTCCCTCTCAAATCATCATCTTCATCATCACTTTAATTTAGTCAAGATTGATTGTGAATGAATTAATTGCTCCAAAGATAAAATTATGTATAGAGTTAATTTAGTTTAATGATTAATGATGATGATGATCAAGTTGCATTTGTGTGTCTTTATGAGTTTCAGTCTTTGAGACAAGGAAAAAATCTTACTAGGAAAAGATAAACAAAGATTAACATTGTTTTTCTGTTGTTGTTGTTAAAATGATTGATTTAAACATAAATAACAAACAAAATGAACTGTAATTGACCAAATTAAGGGTCAAATTACTTGTGTAAGAAAATGGGAGGAAGATGAAAATGTTAAGATGATGAAGAGGAGAACCGTTAAAGAGGCGGAGGTTGGATGCGGGGAGAGAGAGAGAGAGAGAGTGATGGTTATGGTGGTGGTGATGGAAAAGTGAATAATTAGTAAGACAAAAGATGTGACATTATGATAGTAAAAGTCTCAATGTTTTTGGATTCTTAGTGTGTGTTCATTGAGAATTCAGTTGATGCCTTGAATTTTAAAGATGAAGATGAGGATGATAAGGAAGTGAAAATTGTGAACTAAAATTTGTAACGAAAATTGAAAGACAGAGAGAGAAGGAGAGAAACCGAGAGAGATCATTGATGATAAAAGAAGATGATAACAAAAAAGATTCATTGTAATCTATCTGGATGAAGATGAAGATGAGGATGATAAGGATGCTAAAGGGGGTTGGGAATCGGTTTTTTTTCTCTTGGTGATGAGGATGGAAATTAGTTGTATAGAGTTGCAGTGACATTTTCCAACTCTGAATCTCCTTTTCAGATAAAATGAGAAGAGAGAAAAAGAAGAAAAGTTTTTAAGATTGAAAAAAAAGATCGAATATTAAATCTTATTATAGGGATGCGGAAATTGAGATTGAAGATGAGAGATGATTATGGGGGAGGAGTTGAGGATGATTAGGATGATAATTTTCTACTGGATAATATGAGTAAAGAAGAAAAGAAAGAGAAAACTTTTTTCTTTTAATTTAGATTTTTTTTCTTTCTGTAGATTAAATTTAAATGAATGAATTTGAATGAACAGAAAGATACTGATGATGAAGAAGATGAAGAAGATACTGATGATGAGGATGAGAAAAGAAGGAAGCAAGAAGATGAAGAGGAGACGGATGTGGGTGGGCAGAAGATGAAGATTCCTTTTTTAAGGAATGTGTTTTAGGAGGTTCTCTAATATTCAAAGTCATTAATCATTCTCTTCTGTCGCCATGATGAGGATGTTGATGAAAAGGAGACAGAGAAGAGTTAAAAGGGAAGAAAGATGATCAGATGATGAGAGAAAGAGAGAGAGAGAAGATAAGTTGGAAAAGTTCTCTTTTTTTTCTTTCCCTCTTTCTCTTTTTTCTTTCTTTTTCTCTTGTTGTTATCTCATTCAAACACTCGTTAATATAATTAAAAGCAATGAAGACAAAGTTTTTCATTCATCTCCATCATCATCATCTCACAAATTAAGAGAGAGAAGATAGTTTCACTCTCATCATCTTCCTATTACATAAATGAATATCTATGAATTTCTGATCCTTTTAAAATCTATGGGAAATTCAAGTGATCCAATTCTGATGATGATGAGAAATTCTGAGTTTCTGCCTTGAGAGAAAAACAAAAATTTTCTCTCTCATTATTTTGACTCTCTCTCTCTCTCTCTCTCTCTCTCTCACCCGAATCATCTTTATCCTCATCTTTTTTTCTGGTGACAAAAGGATTGCAAAACTAATACTTAAATGTTAACATCTTATGCTTTTTAACAATTTTATCTTCATTATCAGAATTTTCAACTCTTTCAATGCTTTTTACATGATGATGACTTTTTTTTTACTCATCATCATCTTCCTGCTCCCTAATTACAAACTATTACACCTTATCATTTGTGATATCAATCATCCTTGCAACATTATTTTACACTTTAGTATCAATTAACATTCTCATCAATTGTTAATCTTGCTTCAACTCCCCCATTGCAAAATGAGTATCATCCTCATCCTCACACTCTTATCATCCTCATCATCATTATCATTATTTAATCCTTTCATCACTTTACTATTTTTTGCATATTGACTGATTACAATATCCATCATCATCATCACCATCATCATCTTATTGTCACTCTGCCCGATTTTCAATTTACATTCAAGATGCTGATCAACTAATCATAATGACGATGATGATGATGATGATGATGATGATGATGATGATGATAATTGCATCTTCTTATCATCAGAATCTCTGTCTGTCTCTCTTGATGATTTTCAAATGATTTTTTCATGTAAACATGACGATAATCATTCCTAATCAACGTACTAATTACAACAGTAATTAGTGTAATAGAAAATAAGTAAATTATTCAGCATGTTAATCAACCTTCTTGAACTAACAAACTTTTTGAATGAGTTAAAAAAAGTTTCTCTCACTTTGAAAAACAATATTGTCCATTCAATATCATCAGCAATTAGATGACAAATCAATTAATCATGTTAATAATAGTGCTCAGTTAATTTCAATATTTTGAAGGTTTTTTTTTGTGTGAAAATTATGATTCACAATCAACATTGAGAAAAAAAATACTCTGATTACTTGATTCAGTTAATTAAAGTTACAATTTATCATAAATTAATGAAACATTGTTAATATTAAAATTGTAAACTTCTGAAACTTTTTTTGTTGTTGCTCAAGTCCAAATGTCATTACATTGAGAATGATTAATTAATCAAGTAATTATGATGATATAGTGAAATAGTTGTGATAATTAACTGATTGCTGAAGGAGGAGGAATAGTAATTATATGCTATGATAATTAGCCAATGGTCAGATATCATTGACAAAGAAACAATTATAATTATAAACTCTATGGGAAAGATAAATTGGTATCAAATTAAATCCCCAATATGTTTCATGCTAATGATGAGGATGAAGATAAAGATGAGGATGAGGATGGAGAGATGATGAAGGACAGTTTAATGAATATTTAAACAATATCATGATTAAAAGTCGAGCTTTTTGTCCCTACTATGGTTAATATAATATATTAGTTATTAAATGTCCCACTTTACCCTTTTCCTCATTTATCTAATCTTCCTGTTTATCATCATTATCATCCTCTGTCTCTTTGTCTCTTTCTTTATGGTTTGGCTTATCATCCTTGAGAGTAATTTATCTTCTCGGTGAAAATAATATGTATACTTGTTAACATGCATTTGGTTACTTTCAATGATACAGTTTTTATGATGAGGATGCGGAGGAAGAGACTCACATCCAGGGAATGGGTTAAGATTAGAATAGTGTTGAATATGATAGAGAATCAGAATTTTTCTTCATTTATTTATGTTCAATTCGAAAAGTCAAAAGTTCTAAAGATGAGAAAACAATATTATCTTGACTCTCTCGCTCTCTATTTCCTCCTTTCTCTCCCTGTTTTCTAGATTTTCTTCCTCTTATCTTCACCTCATCTTTCCTCTTCCTGTCCAGTGATAAGTTTACTATTCTTACCGCTTTGATTGTAAACAGATAACAATTTGTTTCTATCAAAACATTGATGTTTTGATTTGTGTTTGTCTTTTGTCTCGTTCAATATATTTAATCATATTAATGGTAAACTTATGATTATGTTTGTTTTTCGAAGAGAAAAATCATTTTTTTATCGAAAATTAAATTCGATGATAGGAAAAAACTTGCTCTCGATCTCTTCTCGTATTTCCTATCGATTTATCAACATTCACAGTTGAAATGCAATACACATACATCATGATATCATTAATTATATTTAAGATGAGATGAAATATCATCCAGTAGCATCCTCATCATCACCTGATGATCATCATCATGATGAAACAAGAGAGGAAAAAAATAACTAGAAAAACGATTTTTTTTTCTTTCAATAAAGAGAGCTGGTGAGAGAGAGAGAATTGAGTAAGAATGATGAAATATTCGAATCGAATTTTCATCTCTTATTCAGATAGATGAGAATCGATGAATTTCTACTCATCAGCATTTTCTGTTTTCAATATAATTTCTCAGTTTTTCAATAGAAAACTTTTCAAAAGGTAATATATCTTATTTTCTAGGATGAAGGATGATCTGTGATGATGAGGATGATGGCAGTGGTGATGGTGTAAAAGTAGAAATGAAGATAGAAAAGTTTCTTTGGAAAAAAATTTCATTCTCTTCATCATGATGATCATCTTTGAATACCAGGCATCAATGAACAACATTAAGTGCAACTCTTGCAAATCAACTGATGCATTAATAAATTCATAGCTTATTTTATTTCCAGTGTTTGTGTTACTTGAAATCAATTGAAGCTGAACAATATAACAATATCATGATATTCATGAATCAATAATAATAATCAACAGTAACAATTAACTGCAATTCAAGGTAGAAAAAAATTGAAAATCTAGTAAACAAAAACAACCACAGATGAAAAGTGATTCAGAATCAGCTGTAAATGACAAGGATCTCAAATAGTTGACAATTTGTACACAAAGATGATAAATGCAATTAGCTTAGTTAATAGCAGATTAATTACTCTTTGCAATTGAGTTAATTGTAATTAAATTGGATGATGATTGTAGGAGTATAATTAGATAATATAAACATTCAACCTCGACTTATTTCAATGGATTTTCAAACCTTTACCTTAGTTTTTGCTGCTTCTTGCGTAAAATTTTGCAAATAAGCAAAAAGAAGGGGTTAAGATGCAGATGAAGAAGCAAGATGATGATGATGATGAAGTAGATGGAGATTAACAAGTGAAAAAAGAAAGAAAAAAAGAAAGAGAGATTATGAAAAAAAGAGTAGAGTAAAAGTGAAATCAATTCTTTCATCTTCTTCCTCTTTCTCTCTCTTTCTTGTTGTCACCAAGAAGAATGATTAATTACTAGCTCTCTCTCTCTCTCCCACTCTCTTTCTTTGTTCTTTCATCATCTTCTCCATCTTCTCAATTTCTTTATCATCTTCATCTTCTCTTTCCTTCTCTCTCTCTCTCTCTCTCTCTCTCTCTCTCTCTCTCTCTCTCTCTCTCTCTCTCTCTCTCTCTCTCTTCCTCTGTGATTGCCTCTGATACATTCATTGTATTATTATTATATGTGAGTCTCTTTATCTAAATGCATTTGCTTGGCTCTCTCACTCTCTCATTCACTCTGTGTATATGAGATACAAAAGTGTGTGTTAAAACCATCATCAATCATTATGTCAGCCTAAATTAACTCAGATCAACAAAACTTTTTTTCCCTCCACCTCCTTCAATGTCCCCGCTTTGCAAACTTTCATATACACAAACAGCATTCAAATTCATACTCACATAATATTGTAAACTTTTACTCCAAATAATATCATATACTTATCATTGTTGCTGTTGATTATTATTATATTTTTACCTTACGAAATTTTTTCATCATCATGAGCTTTAATTTAAGATCATGATTCATATCTATAAATATGAATGCTCATGATATTTATAAGATTATAACCTATTAGCATTAGGATAATATCATGTTAATGATTATATTGTTTACTCAACTTTTTATCAAACAAATAACAATAATAATGCTCTCGTGATATTTACCGTTATTATCGTTATCTTGGTTAATTTTGTTTTCTCATCAGTGAGAGATAGAGAGACAGAAAAACAAATTGAATGAATTGATTTTCTTTCTGAGTTTATTAACTATTTTCAGGGGAGAATTGAAAATTTTCACATACAACTATTGTTTTTTTTTCTCTATGAAAATATTCACCCAATCATCAACTTGATGGCTTCTTAAATTACCCTTACTGGTTTAATTGGTGTTTTGATTAAGTAATAACAGTTTAGAATTTCTTGATTGTTATCATGATCATTAATCAGTCAGTTAATTGTTTTTTTCTCATTCAAACAAAAACTCACTTTTCTCAACTTTTCTCTATTCACTGAATGAAAATTATCACCATTTCTATTATCACTCTCACTCTCAATTCTAGATTTTCCTCTTCAAGTCCACCCCCTGGTCTTGGAGGATTAACGAGTTATCATGGAACTGGATCATCAAATCAACGAGATAACAATTCAAACGGTGATCTAAATGGAGAAATAAATCCGATTGCTGCTTATTTACTGCAATTATCCCAACAACAACAGCAGCAACAACAACAACAGCAACAGCAACGTCAACGAGATCATCAACAATCAGGAAATCAACAATTAACTCAAAATCATAATCAATCAAATAATAACAACTCATCAACCTCATCACATAACAACAATAATAACAATTCAAGTAACAATGGTAATCATCATAACAGCAACAACTCATCAACACCAACACTTACAACTGGATCAGCACTTAATTTAAGTTCTCGAAGTGCTAATGGTTCAGGTATTACTACAGTTATCGGTAGTCCAATCGATGATAACGATAATAATAATAACACAAATAATAACAATAATAATAATACAAGTTCGAGAAATAGTTCTAATCGTAGTTCGAGTTATCATCATAACTCAAAGGAATCACGAAGTGGATCTCATGGTTTACTGACCATAAGTACTGTTAATAGTAACAGTATTAATAATCATTCATCATCCTCATCTTCTGGTAATCATCATCATCGAGACAGCAACAATTCATTAAGTATTAGTACAATTAACAATACAACAATTAGTAATTCACATTCAACCAATAATAATAATAATCGTTTATCATCATCATCATCTCGTCATCATCGTAATAACCATTTAAATAACAACAGCAATTTAAACCTTTCAGGTAGAGGAGGAAGAGGAAGACGAAGTGGTCATCGTGATGAAGATGAAGATGAAGACGAGGATGAAGAGGATGATGAATCAACTGATGAAGAAGATGATGAAGATGATATCAATTCAAATGCTAGTAATAGTAATCATAGTGATAATCCAGTCAGTAGCAGTTTCAATGGTAAGTTAATTGTTTGGAAAAAAATTTTGCTCTTCACAATCAAAAGTTAAACCACTAATCATGTTAATTTAGGTTCAATAATAATCATGATGATAATTTAATTGGACACAAATTAAACTTGATAAGTTTCAAGTTAATTTTAAGGTTTGGCATTTTAACATGAGTCTAGTTAATTTAAAGGTCTAAATGTTAAGTTAATTGTTATAACTGTTATAGCTAATTGAATTATTAACTCTTGTGTTGATTTAATTTTTAATTTTGTCCAATCAAAAGTTAATGGGATGTTTTTTGATTCACTTTCATGGGTTTGGCTTAGGAAACTTGTTTTCTGGTTTAATTTGTGTTGATTGTGGTAGTTTTTTATTTTGTTAATCAACTTCAATCTTAATCTTAATTGATTGATTTTTTTCTTGATCAATTTTCAACTTATCAGGTTTAACATCATCATCAATACGTGTCATACCCACCGATGGGACAATATCAACTCCCAATCACAATACGTCATCGGGATCACCGATTCCGATACCAATTGCAGTGGCCACTCATTCAACGGTTCCAATGGGACTTTTAACTGGTGGTGTCAGTGTCGGTGGTGGGTCAACCTCAATCATGGCTACAGGAGGTGCAACCCTTTCATCATCTTCTGGGTCAACCCACCTTTCATCATCTCACCATCACCACCACCATAATAATAGTAATAATAATAATAATAATAATAATCAACAATCATCTTCATCACTACCTCAACCTGAACACTGTCTTGAAACACTTTTACGTAACATTGAAGGGCTTTTGGCAATAGCGGCACATAATGCAAGGCAACAGCAAAGTCAATTAAATCAACAGAAAGGTAAAGAAAAACAAAACAATTATCTCAAGACTAATTAACTCAATTTTCAAAATCAATCAAGTTTAAATTTTTCCATTGGCGCAAAAAAAAAACTCAATCTAAACCAACAATCAACAAACCAACAGGAAAAATATACTTGTAACTTTGTTGTTGTTTTGATACAACAAACATTTGATTGTTGACAAGTATGAAAAAAAGGCAACGAAATCAACTTGTAACTTGTCAACTGATTTGCTTTGGGATGTTGATTGTTGATGGTTTACTTATGTTGATGGATTGTAACATCGATTGCAATGTAATATTATTACATTATCATTGGAATGTGCAAATGAGCTGAATAATAATATTGAATGGACAGAAAAGGGACAAAAATTATCGCTGTTGATTGTTGATGATGAAGGTCAACAATCAACAATAATCAAGTCAACATGATTGATCAGATGATGATAATGAAGAAACTTTTTTGCTTCAACAAATATATGAGTATAAAGAGGAAACATCAAAACTTTTTTTTTTCGTTTTCGTCGAATAAGAAAAAAAAAAGTCAAACAAAAATTAATCATTTCCGTTTCTGTTTTACTCTAATTATTATAATCAAGTGAAAATGTAAAACTAGAATTACTAATAATTAGATGGATTAAGATTTTCGCTGAGATATTGGTTACAATATATTTCCTTTCACATCTTAATCCATTACAGATTCAATTCAATTTCAATGGCATCATGATGATAATGATGATGATGATGATGATATAATCATTTAGTCATTACAATTATAATCAAAATAAAAGCTCACTCGCTGACTCCACCTAATTTAAGTTAATCAATCAATCATCATCAATGCATTATCATCATTATTATATCCGGTTCTATGAGTTGTTATTTTAAATGTATTTCAACCAATCAAACGATGAAATTATCATCTTGATTCATCTTCTTCCTCCTCCTCCACCTCCTCCTCCTTCATGATGATGATGATGATTATCATTATCATTATGATAAAATTGATAATAATTCTGATCACTTTGATAGTTTATAACGAAACAAACTTGATATTCAGGATGAAGATGAAAAACTTTTCACATTTGCATAGTTGATGCAATACCTTTTGCTTACCTTTGCAATATTATTATTGTATTATCATGATGATGATGATGATAAAAACCATTGAAATTTTTTCCTCTGACAGTCAGTTTAATAGTTACATGATGAAGATAAAGATGATGATCAAAAATTGAACTTTTTTTGTTTCCATCTCAATTTTTACATCAATTTAATTTCTTGACATTTGATTGGTTTGAGGTTTGCATTTTGACCATTTTAATATTACGGAAATTTAGTTAATTGGATTGAAATATTGCGTGTCATCCTTATCATCTTCATCATCATCCCTATCATGATTATCCTCATCATCTTTTTTTATACATCCTATAAATGAGAAGAAGTTGCAATTTAAATTCTAATCAAGGAATCTCATGTTTTTCCAATTCTAATTTTCATTTTCTTCATCTCAAAAGATCAGATTGTCTAAATCTCTAAAGAACCACAACAAATCTCATCCTCATCTTCATCTTCATCTTCATATACAAAGCTTTTGATTCTTTGTTTTTATCTTCCTCATCCTCATCAACCTCATCATTTTAATTTCTACTTCTATCTTATTATTAGTATGGAGAAACATTAAGATTTTCTGATTTTTTTTCATCTTCTCACTAATTAGAAGTTGGCAGCTTATAGATTGTTACAATTAGCTAGTAATTTATCTGTTCGCAATTTAGAATCAATCTTTTACTCACTTCTAATCATTTCTTAATTGTAACTTTAATCGCATTAAAAACTTTTCTCTTATTCCAAGAGATGTGAATAATTCATCATCAGAATGAGGAGATAAATTAAATATTCTTAACTTTTCCATGTCGATCATATTGTTTTACATTATATTCATTAAAACACAGAATCTTTAACACCTTATGATTAATTAGCTTTTAGATGATTAACATTTTTTTTATTCTCTATTTCATCTGAATCATTTTGAATTTGGTTAAACATCATTAGCAAAGAAGTTGTAAAGTCAGAGAATCAGAATCAGAGTAAAAGATTAAAAAGAAAAGAGGAGAAAAATGTTGAAATTGAAAAAGTAACCAAGGAGAATGTTGGAAAAATATATTTACAGAAATTCGAAAGAGATGAGATGAGAGGAAAAAAATGAAGAGGTGGGGGGAGGATGGAGAGTGCTAAGGTGGGTCGATGGTGGTGGAAGATGAATAACCAAAGATGATACTAAATTCATTAAGAATTCAAAAGATTATCTCTTATAATTGTTCTGTCTCTGGTAGATTAACCTCATCTCTCACTCATTTGAATAATAATAATAATTGATGTGTGTTCACACCTTCTCATCCACATCATCATTATCATCCTCGTCATCCCACTCTCTCTCTCTCACTCGCTACGTCTCATCAATCTGAGCATCCAAAGGAAGCGTAAATTAAACAGCTCAAATTATTGTTATAATTACAACTGTAGAAAAAATATTCTTAATCCTTTTTATCATTCTCCTCGTTTCTCCAGCATCCTCCCTCTATTTTCACCTCCTCCTTCATCATCTTCTCCCACCCAGCTCATCCTTTATTTTTTTGCATCTTTTTCTTTTTCGAGTTCTAAAAAAAAGTTCTATTCGATCCTCTGTTGGCCATTTTAACAAAGTCAAAAAATTAACTTTTTAATTCTCATCAGGATTAAATTACTTTCTATACGGTTTCATGATTTTAATTCATATAAAATCAACAATCTCGTTTTTTCATCTTCATCCCAAGGCATTTACCTAAATTAACTTGATGATGATAATGATGAGAGAGAGAGAGAGAGAGAGAGAGAGAGAGAAGGTTCAGTTACCTTAATGAAAAAAATGAATAAAGTCGATTAAATAAATGAGAAGAAAAAAATTCTTATTCTAATGATGATTATGAGATGATCTCTATGAATTCTTGATGAAATCGAGTCTCAGATGAGAACTTGAAGTTACTGTTCATTAAATGGAAGTGATTTTCTCCATGAAAATATTACAACAACTATTAGAGATTAAATAATTTCTCCAAGTGTTAATCTGTTATCATTTATATATTAATAGAATTTTTTTTCTCATCTACCTTCATCATTGGAAATATTGGAAATTCAATAGGAGTGATTTCCTCGTTCTGGTTAATCTCAACTCATGGCAATTGAAATTGGAAATATTCATGAACACAAATTCATACAATTATTTAATTTCTAATGATTAATATCATGAATGAATTAGTGAATCAAATTCATATTAGTGATCATTTTTTTCAATTCATCATATTGATTCATTGGGAATGAATAATTTTCTCTCTCTCTCTCTCTCTCTCTCTCTCTCTCTCTCTCATTCTCTTGTGGGTGGGAGAGAGTTAGAAAAACAGGGAGAGTATATACTCACTTTCTCATCATCTTAACCTCTTTACCTTTCCAGTTGATTATCATCCTCATCCATCATTTGAATCCGAGGCTTTGAATCATTTTTTTTTTGCTTTCCTCTCACTGCTTATGCTAATCCATTCATACCCTTTATATGCTCACTCTTCATCTTTATCATCCTCATCATCCGCATCCCTACCATAACCAAATTACAACAGAAGCATAAAAAAGTAACTCCCTGAATCCAAATATACATGGTGTATATTATTACCAACTCACTCTTTTAAAGTTTATAATGATATTTAAAACATTTGGTTTGGGAAACATTGAGAAAAAAAATTTCCAATTCATGATTAGATTTAAATTCTAGAACTTTTTGAATTTCGAGTTTTTGATTCGAGCCAAGGGTTCGATCAATTTAATTTGGCATATTTTGATTGATGGAAATCGTTCCAGTTACAATATATTAGGAAACAAATTCTGGTTTTCTCAGTCAACTGTATATTATCATCATCATCATTTTTATCATCTTCATCTTCATGGTGATATTTATTATCTTTGTCAGTTCTTGAATGAGTTTCAATGCAATTGAGTTGAACATCTTAGATGTTGTTAACAATTGACTGACTCATTGAGAGAAAATTATGATTAGTTGTTGAATTTTTAACCTTTAATTATTCATGACAATTAATTGATTCAATCATCATCAATTGGAGTAATTAATGATTCTCTTAATTTATTACAATTTAACAGCGGAAACAATTGTCTCACCTTGATTGTTATCAATGAATCTCTATTGTTTCTCACTTTGATTCATTAATCTAAATGATTTATCTTGATAATTGCAATGAGAAAAACTTTTCAGTAAAAAATTTAATCTCAATTGCAATTAACAAGGAAAAAACTAAGTATTTATATTGTTAATCACTTCACAATTAATCATTTAATTGTCACAACTTTAGTTTTTCAAGTTTACATTCAGAATCCATTGATCATTAATTAAAAGTGTGATTAATTGTTTATCATCATCATCATCAACTACAATTTATTTTCACAATCATAATGATTAAGTGGAAACAATTGAAAATGAAAAATGATTGTTATTAATCAATTGGGATAAAAGTTTCACTTTTTTTTATATATGTATCATGATTGTTGATCATGATTAATAAATTAATTACTTTTCAAGTCTCTTTGTTGAAAATAATGATGATTATTATTATTATTGTTGTAGTTCAATTGTAAACTGTTATTTAATTGTTAATTGTAAGAGTGAGTTTGGAAACGATTAAATTGTTTGACTATTTATTACAAAAGAGGAAACATTAAATTGTTGATTGTTGATTGTGATATATTAATGATTAGGGATATTTAAGTTTGACAAGAAAACAATTGAGAGAAAGTTCAATTTTCAGAATGTGAAACTGGAAACTCATATTTTTTTTCATGAGCTATTAACAGAAAAAGTAACCATTAGAACTGGTCAATATAATGGTGACATTTATATAACCTGACAACAAACAAATAACTTAACTTATGTCAACATTACACTATCATCATTATCATCCTTGACCACCCTCTTCCTACACAACCATGAACATTATCTCCCTCATCCTCCTCCCTATGGTGACTGATAATAATGGGTAATAATGTATTACAAATAAGAGGTGACATTTTTTTTTCTTCCTGAAAAAATTTCATTCTTGATTCCCTGTTGTTTGTTTCGCTCACTTTTTGGTCAGTAATCACGATAAAATCATGATGACCATGAAGATTGGGATGACAAAGGAGGACAATTTAATACTCTCTCAATGAGTTTAGGTTTGGATACACAAAAGTCAAGTATCATTTTGCAAAATCAATTTTAAACTGACAAATAGTTAGCAAGAGAGAGAGAGAGAGAGAGAGAGAGAGAGGATGAGGATGACAAATATCATGAGGGGAGATGATGATGTAAAAGGAAACATGGAATCCAGGAGACAAATATCATGGATGATGATAGGGATGAGGATGAGGAAGTGTAGTTTTTATATTCGATCGTTTCTCTTTCTCTGTATTTGTTAACAGAAACATAATTTTTCATTAATCTGATACTTTTTTTATTCTCTATCTCTCTTAATCCTCATGAGGATATTGGGTCTCGATGATGTTTTTGTGGCTTTTGCAGAGGTAACAAGACAAAGCTAAAAGAAAGTGAATCAACAGGGAATCATCATCATCATCATCAGCTTCAATTTTCATCCTCCCCACTCACCAACCTCTCCTCCTCCTCTTCAATATACACACCGAGGTTTTTTTCACCTCTTTTTTTATCATCATCACATCATCATTTGTGTTTCTGTTTTTTTACATCTGATCCTCTGGAAATAATGATGATAAGCCTCATCTCTCTCTCTCTCTCTCTCTCTCTCTCTTCTCTCAGTGATGATATTCAATAATATCATCATTAGAAACTCCCTCAGGATGACCTTAAAGTTGACAAACTTACCAAAAGGTCAATCAAGAAGAGATTAAGAAACTAGTATATATATTTTGACCATTGGATAGTTTATTTCATCAGGTTCAATTTTCTCATGGATCATCATCAGTATATATCTGAATAGTTTCATGGGAAGATAATTTTTCATGAGCATGATTATGATGAGATTGAATTGATTGTTTTTATTGTGAAACAACAATGAAAATCAATTGACTGGCAAAGAAATGCTCAATTCAAGGTACAATATGGAAACATATCTCGATATAAATAACTTGAAATCCCTCGTAATCTCCTTGGAGATGATGAAATGATAATAAGAGAGAGAGAAAAGGAGGATAATCCAGAAGAGGATAAAAAGGGAGTTAAGTAAAGGCCAAATATTGACACGAAAAGTAATCATCATGAAGATATTAACAAAGAGAAAAGTTAAAACCTTTTGTTTTTCAATGAACTTGATATTGACCATATATCACAGAGCAATCAACTCATACGATTATGTCACCTGATGATAAAAATAAAATATATATTTCTACATGATATTAACATGAGAGAGTGAGAGAGCTTGATAAGATGACCAATACAAACCAATGGACCATCAAAAGGTCAGTTCCTTTGAGGATTAACTAAAGTAAAAGGCATTTCCATGTTTACAATATTTTCCCAAGAATAGAAAAAGTCAAATGTAAATGAAATTGATAAACTTGACATGGATCCATAAGCACACAGCTCTAAAACTGACCATAACTGACCAATATATCTCAATGATAAAACTGATTTAACTTCAAGTTGAAAATAAAACACTTTTGAACATTTGAAAAGCTCGAGGAAAAAAAGTAAACAAAAAAGTTTTTTGTTCAACTTTCTCCATTCATGTTAATTGTAAATTCAATTTGTAAATCAAATTGTTCAATTTTCTCAGCAATCAAGTAATTTTGATGAGCATTGAAAATTTGTTGACACAAATAGCAATTGTTTATCATCAACAATTTAATAATAGTTAATTGAATACATATCATGCTGATAATATTATCTCATGATAAATATAATAGGCAACAATCAGAAATAATTTAACAAACAATTTAATTTGATTGAGTTTTCTGAGACTTGTTTTTATCCCTCTTGTACATACAAAATCAAATTGAAACAATTAAAGTTAATTGTTAATCATAGTTTTCCAGCAAATCGTGTCTGAGAAACAAATTACCGTGAAAATTGGATTGATTTCACGCTTTTTATCATGTTAAATGTGAAATTAAATCCAAAAATTAGTTTATCTTTTTAATAGAATAAGAAAAAAAAAACTTTTCTCTCTCAGGATAAAATCTCAGGTAGAAAAATTTTCTTATCATTTCACTTTTTCCTCTTCATCACAAATATCACCCTCAGGCGAATACAATTTAACCATCTATTAGCAGAATCATTATCATCATCATCTTCATCATCTTCATCATCTTCATCTCCATCATCATTATAATTATCATTTGAACTTCTAGTTAATAATATTATTGTTTTAATGATGATAAATAATAATAAACATCTAATGAATTACCTTCATCGAAACTTATTCACATCTTATCGTCTTAATCATCCACCCCCTTCCTCCATCTCATCCTTCATCCCTCATCTTTCATTTCTCTCTCATCAAAACGGAAACAGTTTTTTCTTCACGATTTCCTATAAGAAAAGTTGTATATAAATAAATACATTTATCTCTTTGTAATCTAAGTCTCTTTGGTTTCTTTTTTTTTGTTTCTTAAAGAAAATTTTCTCTCTCTCTCTTTATCCTATATATCATTTGTACATCATCTTTATCATCCTCATCCTCACCATCACTTTGAGTCTATACATGAGCATCATCATCATAATCATGTATTTATTACCATTATAAATGATTACTTGAAGTTAAAGTTTCTCATTTTCATTGAGTTTGCAAAAGTTGAACAAATATAAACATGATAAATTCAATCATCATAATCATGAATTATCTTGAATCCATCATGATGAGTTGAGAAATTTAACAATTTTAAATATTAGAAAGATAGAGAGAAATTTTTTCCCCCACTAATTCAAATTCTGATTTACAATTTCATCATGATCTCTGAACTATTAATAACCTTTCAAATCTTTTGGTATGAATTCATCTCCTAATCCTTTTCATCAAATCTCATGAGGTTTCATATGAATATGAATAAGCATATTTGTATCATCCATGTGCTGGGATTACCTTTTCCCTCCCATGAATCACATACACCGATCATGAAAATATATCTTTCCATGTAATCTCATGAAATTAATTGTAATTTCCTTGATTTATTTACCATGTTAACACCTTAAGTGAGTTAGCATTACAAAATTATCATTTAATTCAATCCCGAATGAACAAAAAAAGCGTTAATTTCATTAACTAACTTAATTGTTATCATCTAAATTTAATAGTTAACAATTTGTTTGTGTTAATCGTGTGCACAGGTATTTAAATCACCCTGTTAATTGTGGTTAATTGGCTGCTGATTGTTTGAGTTAATTTTTTGTTTCTATGTAAATGGCTGGTGTTTTTTAATTGTTGAGATTTTTTTCCCAATACGGTGAAAACTTGATTGATTTTAATTTCTATTACTGATTAATTGCTAATTGTTGACTTTTGAATTTTCTTTCTCCCCTAATTTTGTTAATTGTTTAGCTGAATTAAAAGCTGAACTTGGAGCTGTAGTTGAACGGGAACGTGAAGCAAAGGATCAACTTGAAAGACAATTAAATGAAGAGTCCAAAATTAGATGTAAGTTACAAGATAATTAACTGATTTTGATTGTGATTTCCTTCAATTTATTGTGAAAGAAATTTGCTAATTGTGATTAATCATTGATTTGCTTTCCTATTTCTGTGATTCTAATTGTGTTTAGTGTTATATCAAAAGCGATACAAGAAAGAGAAACGATATCGTCGCAAGATTGAAAATGATCTTGAACAATTACAACAACAACAGCAACAATTAAATCAACAACATGAACAACAACAGCAGAAAAAATCATCATCATCATCATCTACCTCTTCATCGTCTTCACAATTATCACCAACCTTACGACACTCATCATCTTCCAACAATCAACAACCAAATCAACAACAATCATCATCATCACCGACAACAAAAGCAACAACAACTCTCACAGCAACAATAACACCACCATCGTCAACATCATCATCATTAACAACAACAACAACAGTCCCCACAACAACAAATCGCTCATCACCAACATCAGCTGATCATGAGGTCAGTTCCAAACAACAACAACAACAACATGGGTCAAGAAGGTCAACTTCAAGATCACCACCAAACTCACCACTAGAACCCGGAAGTAGAAACACATCACCAATGAGCCATCAAGACATTAAAACCAACGATTCTTCCGGTGGTGATTTATCAGATAGAGATTAAATTATCATCAACTCTAATTGCAATTAGATTTTAAATTGTTCAACACTTTAAACCTTCATCTTAAGTCAACAATTTAAATTGTGACAATTAAAATGTTTCTTTTTTTTCTGTGTGTTGAGTGTTAATCAACTCCCCCGCTCCTCTCTCTCTCTCTCTTTATTATCTTCATTAATCATCTTTACTGATAATTAACAACAATTTGTAAATAATCATCTTCAACAATTAAGCAGAAAAACAAAACTCAATCATGATCTTAATCATCACAATTATCATCAACAAAACAATAAGGACTTAATTTGAAACTTGTGCTTGTTTGTATAACTGTTACAATTTAAATTATTAATTGTAACTGATAACAATTAACTACAATCAACTATTGGAAATTTTCTCTTTTCTATTTCTAAATTAATTGTAATCAAATCTAATCCCGAAAACAATTAACTCTCAAACTAAATTATCTCACTCAAGCTCTTCATATTATCCCAGAGACAAATTAATACGACAAAATTTGATTAGATTTTTTTTGTTATCTCTACTTATAACATGTATTATTAATTATTACCAATTAATTAGTTGATCAGTTAATCATGAAACATTCAAATTAAGTATCATAATTATTATTACTATTATTATATGAACAAAATTACCAACAATTAGTTAATTAATTAGTTAACTTAATAAGAAGACAAATTTCTCATGCAAATATTATATTAAAAAAACCACAAACAATTAAAAACGTAACAATTAAATTGAATTGTGAAAGGTCAGCTAATTGCCAATTGATTATTGATTAATAATAATGATACTTTGATTTAGTTAATTGTCACAATTAAAATGTTTTTTCCAAATTTTAATTTAGTTTCTCATCTCTTTTTTTGCTCGAAAACTTTTCCAACTTTAATTTATCAAACTCTCATCATCGTCATCATCATCTGCGAACTCACAATTAAATCAATAAAGGAAGAGAAATCAACATCTACGATTATCAATTTATCATCATCATTAGAAGACTTTTTTTAATCATCATCATAATGATCATCATGATAATCGATGATTCTTATTATTTAATCATATTCAATTCTGTAAAGTTCAACATTTTACTGATCATCATCCCTCATCTTTATATCATCTTCCTTTATTTGGCAATGGATTGAATCGTGATGATGAAGAAGATGATGATGATGATGATGATGATGGTCATCTCTCTCTCTCCCTCTGAATGTCACCCACCACACCCGCTCTCTGATAACGTAACTACGTACAATAATATACAAAAGAAACACAATTAAAAGTCAACAATTAAAAATCAACAAGTGGTTATATTAACAATCATTGCGAGTTCATTGTTATTTCAAATGTTTTGCATTAATTATCACGATCAATGACAATTAGTAAGTTACAGTTGATTTGGTTAATTGTTTTGTAAACAATTTGCATAGTTCATTCAACTTTTATTTTCATTGATTATAATCATGATTTATAAATGATACTATTAATATTTACACATTTGATTGTAAAACTTTGCCAAGAAAAAAAAAACTCAAATTCGAGATGAAAATTGGCAAAAGTAAAGTAAATTAATCATCAAGATGATTATTATCTTGATTATTGTTGAAACTCATGGAAATCCTAAAATAATCAACTTAATCATTTACTGTTTTTCTGCCAATTAGTTGTGTGAGTTAGTCTCAATCAAATTAATATTAATCAACAACAATATTGTTTTTGTTTTGTGTACAATAGGATGAGAGCAGCAAAGTTTACATAGTAAGGTAATGGAAATGATAAAAAAAAATCAACTTGGTTTTTTGCTCATCTTCATCCGCATCCTCATCATCAGCAATTCAATATAATTGGTTTTGTATTAGCATATATACACTGTGATGATGCAAAAAAAATGATTCACAAGCTATTGATTGTTTAATGCTCATTTGGATGATGTTGGTTAATTGTTGGGGTAAATTAAACAATCCAATTAAGGAAACAGAAAGAGGCAAAAATGATTATCCTAAAAAACTGTAACAATCTGATGATAATATTTTAATAATAACTTATGATGATAATACAAATTATTTCATACATCGTGAGTGAAAGTGAGGTGGAGGTGGAGGTGGAAGATAAGGAAGAGAAAATGAAGAGAGAGAGAGAGAGAGAGAGAGAGATGTTGAGACCACAAAAGGTTAACATGTATAAAAGTTACATCGAAATGAATAGAAAGATAGAGAGAGAGAGAGAGAGAGAGAGAGAGAGAGAGAGAGAGAGAGAGTGAGTGAGTGAGAAAAAAGCTCAAAGGTCTTCATCATATTCCTCATCATTTTTATCATCCTCATCATCCTCATAGCGTGATGACATTCAATGGTAAAAGGGTTAAACTGTCTTATACATATATGAGTAAAAAAAATGGTGGCAAAAGGATGAGGATGCTAAGGATCACATCAGTTACACACAGAAGATGAAGATGAAAAAAAATCTTTCCAGGAAAATTTAATTAATTTGATGACAAAGACAGTCTTTTAATTAATTAAAACAGGAAAACAATGAAAATGGGTTACCATGTAATGGTGTTTGTTTTTTATACATAAATATTGTTGATTACACTTGAAGGCTTATAAACATTTGTAACAATCAAAACAGAATCAAAAAAAAATTCATTTCTACCAATCAAATGAATAATCAAAGATAAAATCTAATTATTAATACAACTGAATCATATTATCATCATCATATTGATAATTATTATTACTCCCAAGGATGAATGAAAAAAGTGTCAAAATATTAAATTCATTAAATTAATCATGATTAGTTGATTGTTATTATGTGACAACGGTTAAAGTTTCATTTGTATTGAGACAATAGGTTTCCCATTGTCTTGATTGTTACCCAATTGTTATTAAAATACAATTAAGCCTTTTCATGAAAAACTTATAACCCCATTGAGAATCAACAATTAATGAATGAAATTAATGAATATGATAATTAACCAACTCACACACACACACAAGTTTAATTTAATTAAGTTTGTGTAGTAATCATTTTTTTGACACTTTTTGTTTTCTTGTCATCACTTTAATTGTCATCTTAATCAACGGAATATATTTTAATTGTTGTGGAGTAAAAATTGAGAGATAATTTAAATTGTCATCATTTTTTTTTTATCGTGAATTAAAATTGATATTAATTTGATTTAGTGAGAAGGACGAAAAAAAATCTTATTTTCTTTGCCTAAATTGTATCATTAGTTTTAATTATTGATGATTATTGTCAAGATTATCATGATAATCATCAATATCTTGATCACTCTCATGGGAAACATTGAAAACCAATTGAAATGATTGTAAAAGTTTCATCTTCATCTTCATCTTAATCTCACTTTTATCACCATCATCATCATGAATGATGAATTGAAATTGATTCTTGATGATCAAATATCATGGATGTTAAAGTAATTAAAATTTTCTGTTGATTGTTGATAAATATTTTTTGCCTTCTATTGATTGTCATCGGAAATGTTTATTCCCATCGTTCATCATCCTGATCAGCTGAAGTAATCGAGATGATTAAAGATGAAATTGATTCAGATTCTTGATCCATTGAAAATCAATTTCTACCTTATGATTAAATTGAATTGAACATTGGATTGTCAAGAATTTACAATTTTTCATCTTCTTTTCTATTTCTAACATTTTCAAAAGTAAGCAGAAAAACAAGCCTATCAATCATTTATCATTCTCATTCTCATTCTCATCCTCGTCATCTTCATCCTTAGAATCATCAATATCCTCCTCATCATCATCATCATCATTCAGATAATATGAATATACAAAACTCGAGACTTTCAAATTGAACTTGAACACTAATCAAATGCTCAAGAATAACGACAAAGTTGATGATAGAATCAGGAACCATTGATTGTCAACGATTGATGAAAACAAAACTAGAGCAATTGTTGATCATCTTGATAATCATGATGATAGAATCACAATTGACTTGGTAATCAAATTAAATCATTTTCTATCAAATGAAAACGTGATTCAGATCCAAATTGTAACAACAACAATTATCATATTAATGAATATCAATTATAATCATCAGTTCGTTGCTTATCTTGTTGTTTATTCACGCAATCTGTCAGTCTTTGTATTCATCCTCATCCTCATCCTTGTCTTCATCTTCATCATGAATAAAACTTTTTACTTTACCTGAATCAAAATCATCATCAAGTTATAACCATTAAGTTTACCTTTGTGCTAAATCAGTTATGATGATAACAATGGGATGTGACTTATCATCATCAGTAATAAACTGATATATTGAACAATTGAATTGATTGTTAATAGTAAGATGAAAAAAGTTTTTGCTTTTCTTTCCTGATCATCATATTTTCATCATCATAATCCGTGACTATCCTGATGATGATAATGATGCTTTTCAATTTCATTATTATGGTGGAAACCACATTCAATTGCTGTAATTAAAATGGTTATTTAAATTCAAGTTTAATTGTTATTGTTACACAAAGGAGATTTAAAGTTCATTAATGATAAATTTAATAATAATCATCATTATATCTGGAGAGTTGATATTAGATGTTAATTGTTGCTGCTGTTTGTCTGTAAATGAGTATATTAATCAAATGGTAAAAAGTTAATGTAAACTTTTTTCAACTTTAATTTTTTGATTGTCAACAAATAAAAATTGATAAAGATAAAGATGATAAATTGAACCATTATGATGATGAGCCTAAGAAAAGGATGATAAGGTGGATGCGGAAATATGATGGATAAAAAGTCATAAAATCGTTTACAAGGTTAAGTTGATGTTATGTTTACATAAGAAAATTTTTTATTCATTGTTAATGGACACAAGAATGAGCAGTTTTATCAGATGATGATAATGATGATGATGATGATGATGAGGATAGGGAAGATAAAAAAATGGAAAGTGAAAGATGATGATAATTTGCATAACTTTATCTTCTCTCTTTCTTTTTGCCTCAAAGA